AACTTACGCCACGTTACGAATAAACTACTCTACACAATTCATTTAATAAATAATAAAAACTTTAAAATTGCATAAATGCCCTTAACTTCATCTTCTTCCCCTAATTTTCTCTTTTCACCCCTTTATTCCTTAACCCTAAACTTCGACAACTTCTCCCTCCCTTTCCTTGTCTCTGGTAGCTTCTCCTTCTCTTTTCCTTTTTTTGGTGCCAACTTCTCGTCCCTTTCCTTCCCATCCTTTGTTTGACTTTTTTTCTAAAATCTGGGTTTGAGCAAGATTTGGGTTCAAGCAAGATGAACAAAACCTTGTAGATCTAGGTTTAAGCAAGATTTGGGTATGAGCAAAATGAAGAAAACCTCATTGATCTAGGTTCGAGCAAGATGAACAAAACCCCATAGATTTGGGTTTGATTAGAACCCAACAATGCTGGTATTAAACCCACTTATTGTGATTGAACTACTGTTTCTAGAGTGGAGACACTACAAGAAAATCTACATTTAGTGACTAATAATATTATTAGTCGCCAAACATTTATTTTCTGTCACAAACTAAAATTAGTGATGGAATTTAAATCATTAGTAAAACCCTTGTTACTAATGCTTTTAGTAACGAATTTGACACCCGTCACAGAAAAGAATTTTATAGCAATGGAAAAAAATCTACGTTATTAATAAGTTATTTGTAACAAATTTAATTATCACAAAAAATATTTTTTGTTACAATAATTTTCATCACAAATGTTACAATTGAGTGAAAAAGAGAACAAGAAATCACAAATGTAATTGTAATGAAAAATTTAGTCATTAATTATTAAATCTGATATTAAATCAAAAAGATATTTATATAATTACAACATAAATACCGTAACAAAAATTTTGTAACAAAAAAATTGATATATATATATTTATCACAAAAATTTAATAAAAAATATTATTATTTCAATACTAATCAATTTTGATTAAAATTAATCAAGTCTGATTAAAATTAATCAGACCCAAACTAAGCTCAATTTTTATTGAGCTTCACATTATATTGCTCAAATAAAACTTAAATAGATAAAATTAAGCACAAGTGTCAATTAATTAGTTTGCAAGTAGTCACTAGTTTTATAGTGCAAAACTTTATTTTCTTAAATATTTCTCACCGACGTGGGATATATTTATGGTGCAAAACATTTTTTTTATGTGTTTTTTATCAATGTGAGATGTATTGATTAGAAAAAACTTAAATAAGGCTAAATTATAGTGATGATTTTTATCATCACAAGTATGTATTCTCGTTGTGACAATTTTTAGTGACAAAATATATTTTTAGTGAAGAATTGTTTTTGGTTTTCATTGAATGTGTAAGGTATATGTGATCAATATTTGAGATTTGTCTTAATTGGGATGAGTTATAGTGATGATTTTTATTGTTACAAACTTGTTTTTTATTTGTAACAATTTTTCAGTGATGAAATATCTTTTTAAGGATGAATTTTTTTTATTATTATTGAATATACTTGCATTTGTGACTAATTTTTAAATTCTGTCACAAATGTGATGAGTTATAATATTGATTTCAACATTTGTCACTAAAAATTCCATTTCTTGTAGTGAGAGCACATCTAGATTGGGATAACGAAATTCAATTCCTTGTTCCTTTGAGGTGCTTGCAAAGTGGTGGTGGAGATTCGGCTAGAATATGGGAGATCTTAAGCTAGATTAAGGGTATACATTTGATTTTTCATTTTTTCAAAGGTTTGTATCAAATTTCGTTGAATGTTGAGCCATAATAGTTAGAAATGGTAGTTAGATTGTCATTTTTAATTGATTTGGGTTCTATCGACCTAACTGATAAGTTTGATTAGAACCCAATAATGGTTTCATCAAACCTAACTGCAGGGTGTCATCAAACCCAACTGCTAGGTTTCATCTAACCTAACTGTTGGATTTCATTGACCCTAGTTGCTGGGTTTCATAGAATCTAATAGATCTGAGTTTGATTGGAATTGAACAAAAAAGCTTTTATTGTATTCTGGAATTGAAACTCAGAGTCACAAGAAAAGAAAATTGCCAAAGAAGATGAAGAGATTAGTCAATTGAACACAACACAAATGCACCATTCTAACCCAGCCAATCTGGGTTCCATTGAACCCAACAACTAGATTTCGTCGAACCCAACTATTGGGTTCGACAGAACCTAGCCCATATGGGTTCCACTGAACCCAACAACTAGGTTCGATAGAACCCAACAGATTTAGATTCAATGGAACCATCAAGCCAGAGGTAAGAAAGAGGAAGAAAAAAGGGGAAGAAGATGGATTGAGAGGGTGAGGGCTAATAATGTAATTTTGTTTGTTTTTATTTCTTTTTATTAAAATATAAATATTCAATTGATGTGGCATTTTTTAAGATATATTATTGCCATATCATCAAAAGAATTAAAAGAAAATACCATATGAAATTATTTAACAGCCACGCCATGCTTAACTGATGGAGGGACCAAAATTATATAATTTTTAGAGTTTAAAGATAAAAAAAGTACAAAAAATGATTGAGAGACCAAAAAAATGTAACTCTATAAAATTAAGAGACCAAAATGAATATTTAACCAAAGTTTCAAAACATCTCTGTACTATCGAAATTGTTATTTCTCTTTATTTCAAATTCAAAATTAAAATTTTAAAGATATTTTAGGCAATTAATAAAACAGTTGTTAAATTATCTTCAACGACTCCTTTTTCATCTCATAATTTCTCTATTTCTCTTGACTCTGACAATGCTTTTAAGACTTAAAGTACCTGTGCCCACGTGCTCCGAAAAAGTAGTGCGTATTATAATATATGTACATCCATAATATATAATATAATATATCGTATGAGTGTAGATTAATTAATATAATAATTATATTTATTATTAAAAAATATTTAAT